GTAATCGTAGACGTGCGTGGCGGTATAAGAGCTTGCACGGAGGGTCAAAGTCAATTGCAGGTTGAAACTGTGCAATGAAGGTCTTGTTCAGTCTGTTCTCGTTGGTGGCCCTCTCGACTGCCCTGTGAGTTTCATGGGTGTGTGGTCGCGCGTGGGTGTGGGTAGGCTTTGGTGTGTGGGTCTGTGTGTGGGTGTGGACATTGGGGAGGGGGGTTGTGTGTTGTGGATGTGTGTGGGTGTGTACATTGGAGTGTGCGAGTCTGTGTGGGTGTGGACATTGGGGTGTGTGTGTGTGGATGTGTACATTGGAGAGAGCGTGTGTGGATGTGTGTGAGCATGTGTGTGGGTGTGTGTGAGTCTGTGTGGGGGTGTGGACATTGGGGAGGGGGGTTGTGTGTTGTGGATGTGTGTGGGGGTGTACATTGGAGTGTGCGAGTCTGTGTGGGTGGGGACATTGGGGGGGGTGGATGTGTGTGTGGGTGTGGACATTTGGGTGGATGTGTGTGGGTATGTGTGTGGGTGTGTGTGAGTCTGTGTGTGGGTGTGGACATTGGAGTGTGTGTGTGTGGATGTGTACATTGGAGTGTGTGTGTGTGGATGTGTACATTGGAGTGTGTGAGTCTGTGTGTGGGTGTGGACATTGGAGTGTGTGTGAGTGTGTGAATGTGTGTGGGTAGGTGTGTGGGCGTGGATGGGCGTTGGTGTGTGGATATGAGTGTGTGGGTGTTGGTGTGTGGGCGTGAATGTTTGGTAATACGCATGTTGGCGTGGAAGTGCAGGTGGCTGCGGGCGGATCAAGAATGCAGTAAAGTGGGCGCATAAAAGAAATGTAAATCAGAGAGAGAATTGACATAGAGATTGACATAGAGCAATAAATGCTCAAGAAGTCAATGAGAATAACAGATCTTACCCGTGGTGAATGTTTTCGAAAAAAACGAGAATAAATCAACTGGCATGGGGAGTACGGAATACGGAAACACACACGCACACACACACATATGTACATATGTGTGTGTGAATAATAATAACAATAATAATAATAATATCATTAATAATGATAATAATAATAAATATATACATGCACATACACAGGTACATATTCGTATACATCTATGGAAATCTGACACATACACACACACACACACAGAAACACCATAACAAAACTTCTAAGACCCACCCTAACCCCTGCTTCCCCTCGGCGCAGCGGGCAGAGGGAGGACGTGTGGTGCAGGTGCGCGCTCATGGTGGACAGCGACCCCATGCTGTACATGGTGTACGACCTCGGCGAAGCCTTCATCGAGGCCTGCAGTGAGCACGACAGGTGCAAGAACCGCTGCTACGACAAAGTAAGTTGATACACACATGCATATATATATAAATATATATATATATATATATATATATATATATGTGTGTGTGTGTGTGTGTGTGTGTGTGTGTGTACATATATATATACACATATATATACGTACATATAAATATGTATTCGTATAACTTCGTATAATGTATGCTATACGAAGTTATTACGTATATATATATGTATATATATATATATTTATATATATATATGTATATATATGTATATATATATATATATATATGTATATATATGTATATATATATATATATATATTATACATATATATCGTATAACTTCGTATAATGTATGCTATACGAAGTTATTACGTATATATATATGTATATATATATATATTTATATATATATATGTATATATATGTATATATATATATATATATATGTATATATATGTATATATATATATATATATATTATACATATATATCGTATAACTTCGTATAATGTATGCTATACGAAGTTATTACGTATATATATATGTATATATATATATATTTATATATATATATGTATATATATGTATATATATATATATATATATGTATATATATGTATATATATATATATATATATTATACATATATATCGTATAACTTCGTATAATGTATGCTATACGAAGTTATTACGTATATATATATGTATATATATATATATTTATATATATATATGTATATATATGTATATATATATATATATATATATATATATATTTCCTTGCAAACATCTCATCTAGCATTTCTGATATTTAGATAACATTCCTATCTGCAGACACGGGACGTAAACATTGCTTCCTTTCCTTGCAGATCCGAGCTGCCACCAACGAGATGGACTTGTGGTCTCATGATGACAGCGGCTTTACTATTGGATCAAATATTTGCCAGTATCTTTTTTCGTCCTATAATGTCGATCAGTTTAACAACAAATACGTATGTTGGAGTATCTTTTTCTTTGTTCTTTTCTGTCAGTATCACGTTTATGATTTCCTTGTAGGTTACGTTGTAACAGTAATTTTTATGTGTATTGTCGAAATAATTAGTATTAATGGTGAGAAGGTTGGACTGACATTCCAACCGGTAGCATATGCTCAGGTTTGCCATAGCATTATCACTATCACTATCATTCATTTTTGTTGTCGTTGTTGTCCGTATAACCATCAATATCATTATCATCATTATTACTTCAGCCAAGGAGGTTACGTTTTTGGTAGCGTTGGTTAGCAGGATAAATCAGAAAGTTAAGAAAATGGTTTTATGAAACTTGTAACAGAAGTATGTGTTAGCCCAACTTCGATGCCATTAAATCCCGGCATTCTTAAGTGATTCATTGGCATTTAACGTCACCGGTTAATGTAATTCTCCAAGTGTGAATATCTTTATTGCATCCGTGAGCCTGTTGCCTTGGCGGAGGTATGCGCTCTCTGAGTGCTTCAAGCTATAATTATTGTTATCATTATCAATATTATCATTATTATTGTTGTTGTTGTTGTTATCATTATTTAATCATCGTCATCTTTATCTTCATTTTTGTTATTGTTGTTATTAGCAGTACTATAAGTGTTATGATCATTTTATTATCCTCATCATGTTTTTGCTATTATCATCATTATCATTACTACTATCATCATCATCATTATCATCATCATCATCTCCATTATCATCTTCCTCCTCATCATCATTATATCATCATCATCACATTATCATCCTCATCACCATCTTCATCATAATCTTTACCTTCGTCATCGTCATCCTTATCATCGCCATTGTGATTCATACCATCATCATAATCGTTACCCATTATCATTATCATCATTACCATATTCACCATGATCCTTATTATCATTATCATAATTACCATGATCGTTATCATCATTATCATAATCACCATTATCACCATCATCTTATCATAATTACCATTATCACTATCATCATTATCATTACCCTTGATGTTACCATGATCAGGATTACCATTATTCCTACTAATATGATTATTCAAATCGCTTATTTTCATCGTTATTGTTTTACCGTCATCCACATTCTCATCATTATCAACTTTTCTCGCCATTCATTCATAATCATCTACATTATACTAACCAGTCGTTTACTGTTGGTTCCTCAGGTTCACGGGTATTACCAGGTATGCGGGGGCCCCTGGGAATACACATTCCAGGATTCCCAACAGATGCTTTGCTGCAACATGGGAATACATGAACATTGCATCACCCGGAACTAAGCCCGCGCTGCAATCGATGTTGTAATTGTTATTATGTATCATGATTTTTGTTATTATAATTTTCATTATTATTATTTTTTGGCGTTGATCTTATCAGTTATTACGAGTGTATGAGTCTTTGTGAATATTTTATAAAAGTTTAATTAATGATCAAAAAAGTTTTTTTTTCATTCACATACGTACGTGCACTTGGTATATTATGCAAGCTATTTTTTTTTTTTTTTTTTTTTTTTTTTTGTATCGACAGAGTGCCTTGCCGTTTAAAAGTATTTTGGTTTATATAGATGCAAAAAAGTATTTGAAAAATCCCCCTGCGAGTTCTGTATCAACCTTTGTTCTTATGTTTCTTTAGAGAATAAATACTGTTACAAAAATGATAACCACATTCAGTGATGTTTGTTTATTCAGAAAAATTACTTTGATTATTTCTATGATCAAACAATATATTCCTATTTGTAATGTCATTTGAATCGTGGATGTTTTAAAGCAGATATTCACAAAAACAATTAAATATCTCACATTTCCAATGATTTTTTTTTTAATACATTGACAAAATGTAGAAAGGTGTGAATGAGAATGAATATCTTCACAATACAAGAAATGTATTTGACCGGTTTCGAATATATCCTTCGGAAATAAATGTTTTCTGACGAAGATATATTCGAAAACGGTCAAATACATTTCTTGTAGTGTGAAGATATTCATTCTCATTCATACCTTTCTTCATTTGTCAATATGAATACGGCTCAACACTGACAAAACCTTGTTTGTTATATAATTCATAAATTCTATCCCTGGACCTAATCTCCATAACAAAACAAAAAAAAACATATATGCACACGGTGAGTATATGCTTCCACACAATATATTTCGAAGCTATGATATATACTAAGCATAAAGCACAGGACAAGGATAACTTGACTGACCTATTTTGAGTATATCTAGAATAATCCTGATTAATCGATATGTTACGCTAATTCCACGTCCTTGTGTAATGAGATAGCAAAAAAAAAATCTTGAGATTTTAGGCAAGATATTTCCCTGCTTAAAACGCCCCATAAAACGAGACATTTAGGTCTAGTGTATGATGTTGCTTCTTAGTAGATCTTAATATCTGACGAGATATTGTGCGGGAATTTGCAGCATGTAGTATCAACTTTCGAAATTCAACATCGAATAGAAGAAATTCCGACGCGTTTCCTAATTTTCCAGTGAGTTCTAAGATCATGGCCAAGGATACACGCATTCCTGCATCAGGGTTCTCGTGATGAGTACACACATCTTCGCGTGTTATATACTCTGTGTATGATTTTGATGCGAGATGGCACAGTATGCATCAATTTCAGCTTTATGTGTGTATGATATATACATCTACTATAATTAGAAAATACACTCAGGGATTTCACGAAATTGTATCGGATATACAAAGCAATGTTTGTAGAGAGAAACAAAATGTCTATGAGTGAAGAGTGTCTGAGCATGTAGATATACAATTGTGCTTGAATATAGTAATTTATTTCACCAATCACTTCCTAACCAACGCATCCTGAAATAAGAATAGAAATGATATATTCATAACAAAAGTCAGCTTTAAGGCTACTTTTTTCTTTACTTTCTTTCAATATTTTTTCTTCCAAATTGTTCATAAATGATAAATGGCAATAACACTGTCTCAGTAGGAACAGCTAGTAATGCAAAAAAAAAGTTTAAAACTGTATGATTCAATATTGTATAAAAGTTAATGAATGATTCCCGCTTCATTTTACCAAAATTTTCATTCGTAACATAATCTACTGGATCAAGAACTGCTTGTCACTGAAAGATGAGGAAAGCATCAATATTAGAATAGTATACCCTAATTCGTGTACACATATTCAAAGAAAACGCGTTAGCTTGAGGTATATCTTTAAAAAGTTCTCATTTGTTTGCTTCTCTGCGACTAAATCTTCCCATGTGCGAGAGAGAGAGAGAGAGAGAGAGAGAGAGAAAGCAAATAGTTAAAGAAATAGAGACAGATAGATAGAAAGGGGGGAGAAAAAACAGACAGAAAAATAAGTAGAGACAGATAAATGGAGAGAGAGAGAGAGAGAGAGAGAGGGAGAAAGCAAATAGTTAAAGAAATAGAGACAGATAGATAGAAAGGGGGGAGAAAAAACAGACAGAAAAATAAGTAGAGACAGATAAATGGAGAGAGAGTGAGAGAGAGAGAGGGAGGGAAAACAGACAGACAAACAAGAAAAAATATAGATATATATAGATAGAGACAGACAGACAAACAGCAGAGAAAGAAATAATAGAAAGTTAGATGAAGAGAGAGACACTGAAAAGAGATAAGCAGAATTCGAATTCATGTTTTTGTTATTGCCGTTGCAACCTGACTATATCCTTTGACAACAGACTAAGGAGGAGGTATACTTTTCGCAATGATGTCAGCTTAGAAATCCATGGCTTCCCGAATATCTGATCGGGATTTTTGAAAACGTCTGTATCGTAAACCATTAAGTATACATTACCAGTCTTGTCCTTTATCTTGCTGTGATACCGTTTTCTTGGCGGTGTATCAAAATCACAGATTGCTTTATGTTTTATTATCACAAATACAAAAATGGAATGGTTACACGTCTGTACTGAAAAGAATTGACATATGTGATTGAGTGATATGCATTGCGGAATGCTAAGACACGAACACAAACAGCAATGCATTTGTTGTACATGTTCATGTTGAATCACAAGCGAGTGAAAAGGCAGTGACTGTTGTGAATGTAATGCACGATGACTATGCATGATATGGAGAATTGTGAGGTTTATTCACAAAGAGAAGACAATGCGATGCTACCCGTAAGATCTGAAAATGGAGTTTCAGATATTCAGTATTAAGCTTCCGTCGCCAGGGCCAGATGCAGATGTGAAGAATTGACTTAGAAATCTCCTGTCACTTCTCGCCTTCTCACGTCGAACAGACCGCTGTGTGACCGCAGCCTCGGCCGGGTGTTCCAAAGACCCTATCACAGGTAGTACATACATTGGCCTGGGTGGGACATCTGCTTTGTGGTACCGAGGTGTACGTGCGATGTAGATTCCACAAACAATTATTTTGGTTATCTTAGTTTTTTTTCCATCTGGCTTAACACAAGTCGAGAACTTGACGAACGAGAACTTTTGCATGAAACCTCCTGAGCGGCGCCACCCAGCTGTCCACACCAAACTGCCAGTCGTCCATCCTTGAACGCAGCTCCCTGGCGTGCGCACAGAGGGAGAGGCCCTCAGACGGTTCTGACCAACTCGGTGTCGTTATTTCTGGTGTTGCTCTTGGCGTTCGCCTCACAGTCGTCGGGCGCCCCTCTCCGGGCGCAGGGGCACCACCGCTTGCCCGTTATATTCTCTGAAACTTCCGCCCAGTACTCTTCGATCTGTCGCAAGGACTTATTCCTCGTCTCGGGAAGCAGGAGGGCGAAGGCGGCCAGGCAGGCGCTTCCCGCCGCGTAGCTCCAGAGGCAGATGTAGAAGCCCGAGCCGGCCTGCGTCGCCGCGAAGGTCAGCGTGAACTGCGAGGCGTTGAGGGCCGAGCCGGCGAGGCCGCTCCCCAGCCCCCTCACCGCGCCAGGCAGGAGTTCAGTCGCCATCAGGCAGGTCACGGGGCCTATGCCGGCGCCGTAGGCCACCACGAACACGCTCAGGCAAGCCAAGGGGACCCAGTCCGGCCACACTTGTGAGTCCTGCCGGAAGAAGTAGTCTCCGAGGACGGCGATGGTGACGCTGGCCGTCAGAGACGCCGAGATGAGCAGCGTTCGGCGAGGCAGGCGGCCCACCAGGAGGGAGCAGGCGACGTTGGCGACGAGGCGAGCGGAGCCCACCAGCATGGAGCTCACATGCGGGAGGATCCCCACGTCGACCTTGCGGAAGATGTGGACGACGAAGAGGACGACGACGATCTGCCCCGTGGCCTCCTTGAGCACCATGAGGAAGATGGACGCCAGGATCGGCAGCAGGAGGCGCGGCTGCCTCGCCACGGAGGCCTCGCCGCACTCGCCCAGGGGGCCCATGCCCAGGAGCTCCTTCTCCACGTTGACGTCCGGAGCCCGCAGCTGCTGGAGGATGGCCCGCGCCTCCTCCACCCTCCCGCGCTGCAGCAGCCACGACGGCGACTCCGGCACCAGGAACACAGTCACGACGCAAGGAAGGAAGAACAGCGGCAGGATCGCGACGACGGTCGACCAGTGCAGGATGGCGGCCAGGAAGTACGTGAGCATGAAGCCGAGCGAGAAGGCCGCGTCGGGGAGCACGCCCACGGCGCCGCGCCGCCGCGCCTCCGTCACTTCGCACGGGTAGATGTAGACGCTCGCGGTGGCCGCCGAGCACAGCAGGCCCTGGGATTTGGCGCGGGGAGAAATGTCCTTTTGAGACAAACAGTAACTATGCAAATACCAATAGTATATGAATATGATATACCAACATTTTCTCAGTTTTTCAGTTTCTCATACCTTACTTCTGAAACATCACAAGAAATATGAAGCAAATAAACAAAAAAGTCAACACAGAATCCCCTAAACAAACTAAGAACAGATCGCCCTGGATGAGCCGCTCACCTGAAGGACCCGCACCGTCAGGAGAAGGGGCAGGTTGTGCACGCAGCCCAAGAGAACCGGCCAAGTGCTAGCGAGGAGAGGCAGGACCGCTAACAAGAGCCTCCTGGGGCCGAGGACGTCGTTCAGATATCCTCCTGCAATGGATCCTGCCACTGACACTGTCTGAGCCACACTGACTGCAGAGCGGAGGAAGGAACAGTTAAAGGAAGACCCGGGCAAGAGGGAATATATATAGTTTTTTTTTTTTTTTTTTTTTTTGAGACAAAAAAAATCAAAATATTATCTTTGTGTGTGCGTGTATGTGTGTGTGTACGTGTGTATGTGAGAAAGAGTGTGAGTGTGCGTAAAGAGAAGTCAGGATGTGTTTAAAAGATTAATTTTAAGAGCCAGAACTTATTTTTGTATAACTTTTTTGTATACAGCATTTTTTTTACTTTGTTACATTGGTGAAAAAACACTATGTTGTTTTCTCAATTGTTTAAAAAATATATATGATATCTAAAAAAAATATCGAAGGTTTCACGCGTTCCCAAGCTTCTCCCTCATGACCGAATCCCCAATCCCAAATCCTCCACTGATTATCGAATCCCCATTCCTCATCCTCCACGCCCCTTTCACTCACCGAACCATCCGGCCTCGACTTCGCTGAGTGTGATGTCCCCCTCGAGGCGCCAGGCATCGAGGGCGAGCGCTGGGAAGGCGATGACGACCCCGAGAACCACGCCCACCATAGACACGCCCACCGCTGATGAGAGCTATCGTGAGTAGAAGGGAGTTAGTGGGCGCTGGAGTGAAATGGGTAT